ATCAACAGTTCTCTAGGTTTTTTTGTTAAGAACTTAGTTGTTTTATGCTCAATCCACTTAAATTTGTTAAAACAATGAAGTTAACTTAATCGATTTGAGTTGGGATAACATGACGTAATTGGGTGGAACTCAGCCTTTTTTTTAAACAGTATATTAACTATTATTTAAGTCTTCTCAAATCTGGCTTTCGCTGTCTGACTGTTGGCAGATGCTTTTCTTAAAGCCACTTTTTGTGTTTTAATGTGTCTTCAAGAGTTCACACTTAGCTGATGATTGTTGGTAAGCTAGTTTGGCATGCTGTCCCGGGAGAGAGCCCCGATCTCATGAGAGCCTCGAGCCCGGGGCTCCCTCCTGGCGAGAGGGGAGTTTGAGCTCGGGTAGATCCCGAGAACCCCGCTCCCTCCTGCTGCGTGAGGGTTGCTAAGGTGATGCGTTGCTGACAGAATTGAATCGAATTAATCAATTTACTTAAGTGTCATGTTTTTGGAAGTGTGGGAGGAAAGCGGAGGACCCGGGGAAAACCCACGCAAGCACGGGGAGAACATGAACTCCACACGAAAATGCTGACAGTTTGGGTAGATGCCCGAACCGGAGGCATTTTGCTGTGAGGCCGCAGTGCTAGCCACTGGGCCACCGTGCTGCCCTGTAGACAAAGGAGGAGGCGAAGGGGTGGAAGGGGGATTCTTCAAGACGAAGATGACTAAAGGTAAGGTGTTTGGTTATTTATACTTTGTTAGGAATAGTCTGATTGGTGGTTCGTACATTAGCTTGACTCAGGGACAGCCGTGTCAATCATAAGCACGTGATCCTCTCGAAATTAGTTTAGGAATAAACTTCACTTATTGCAGTAATTCTAATTGCGAGCAGGGAAAATAAATTAATTTATTAAAAATTAGTTTTAAATGCACATGATGCAACTAATCACCTAATCATGTATAGTTAAGTTTAGTGAGATCTGAATAAAGCTGTCTGTTAGCAGTTTTTTATTAGCTCTTAGTTCTCACCTGAGGCACGAATGCAATTATTCACTCTGGAGATGAAAGAAAATGATATCATGACAGCGTGGATTGACTGATGGAACCATAAATACACCATGACCTTCACTGGCGACTGTCCTAAAAGAGCAGACAGTGAAAAATATCAATCTGTTTCATACTTTTAAGAGCCTTCAAAAGTCGAGCCCTGGTAAAACATTGACTGATCAAATAAATGCTGAAGAAAACACATGGAAAAAGATGCTCTTTGGAGGCATTCATTCGTTGCAATTTTGTTTGCCAGTAAAACTGTAAATTTACAATTATTAATTACAATTTACTGTAAAATGTATAGTAACTTACTGATAATCTTGGTTGCCAGCAAGACTGTAAATTTATAAACTTACTGTAAATTAATAATTACAATTTACTGTAAGATTTACAGTAACTTACAGGCAGTTTTGGATTGCCAGCAAGACTATAAATTAGTAACTACAATTAACTGTAATTTTACAGTAACTGGCAATTTTACCTGCCACTATGACTGTAAACTTAAAATCTCACTGTAAAATAATAATTACAATTTACTGTAAAAAATAACAGTTAATTCATGGCAATTTCAGTTGCCAAAACTGTATATTTAAAAGCACACTGTAAATTAATAATTACAATTTACTGTAAAATGCACAGTAACTTACTGCAGTTTTGTTTGCAATCAAAACTGTAAAATTATAAGCACTCTGTAAATAAATAATTACAGTTGAGTGTAAAATTTACAGTAACTTACTGACACTTTTGGATTGCCAGTAAGACTGTAAATAAATAATTACACTTTACTGTAAAATTTACAACAACTTGCTGGCACTTTTGGTTGCCAGTAATTCAATTAAATTCACTTTTATTTGTATAGTGCTTTTACAATGTAGATTGTGTCAAAGTCATGGTAAATTGGAACAGTGTAGTTCAGTTTTTTTAGTGTTTAAGTTCAGTTCAGTTTAGCTCAGTTCAGTGTGGTTTACCGATCTCAGACCATGCAATCTAGAGGCGACAGCCGAGAGGGGGAAAAAAAACTTTACCGATTGGCGAAAGTGAGGAAACAAAAAACCTTGAGAGAAACCATACTTAGTTGGGCACGACCATTTTACTTTCTCCGCTGGTCAAACGTCTCGTGCAGAGCTGCAGTCTCAGCGGGGAGGCCTGGAAGCAGGCCTCAGCGAAGACTCATCTGTCCCTGGAAAGTCACTGGAATCAGCAAGGCTGTAAACTTACAAGCGCAATGTAAATCAATAATTACAATTTACTGTATAAAATGACAGTAATTTAATGGAAATTTTGGTTGCCAAAACTGTATATTTAAAAGCACACTGTAAATCAATCATTACAATTTACTGTAAAATGTGTAGTAACTTACTGCAATTTTGGTTGCAATCAAAACTGTAAATTTATATTTAATTACAGTTTAGTGCAAAATTTACAGTAACTTACTTACATTTTTGGATTGCCAGTGAGACTGTAAATGAATAATTGCAACTTACTGTAAAATTTACAGTAAACTGTGATTTTGGTTGCCAGTATGACTAAATTAATAATTACAATTTACTGTAAATTTTACAAAAAACTTACTGCCAATTTAGGTTGCCAGTAAAACTGTAAATTTACAAGCGCAATGTACATCAATAATTACAATGCACTGTATAAAATGACAGTAATTTACTGGCAATTTTGGTTGCTAGTAAGACTGTACATTTACGAGCACAATGTAAATCAATCATTACAGTTTACTTACTGGCAACCAATCATAGTAACTTAATGGCAAATTTGTTTGCCAGCAAGACTGTAAATTTAAAAGCACACTGTAAATGGATAACTTACTAGTAATTTTGGTTGCCAGTAAGACAAGCACACTGTAAATGAATAACTTACTAGTAATTTTGGTTGCCAGTAACACTAAATTAATAATTACAATTTACTGTAAAAAGTACAGTATCTTACTGGCGATTTGGTTTGCCAGGAACACTTAATTTACAAGCACACTCTAAATAATAACTACAATTTACTGTAATTTTACAGTAACTTACTGGCAATTTTGGTTTTACAACCAAAGTATAAATACAAGTGCACTGTAAATAAATAATTACAATTTACTGTATAAAATGACAGAAATTTATTAGGAATTTAGGTTGCTGGTAAGACATTTACAAGCACACTGTAAATCAATCATTACAATTTACTGTAAAAGTTTCAGTAACTTACTGGCAATTTTGTTTGCCAGTAAGACAAAATTTACTAGAACATTGTGACAAAATTAGTGTTGACAATTATTTACATGCTTCTTAAATTGGATGTTTGGGGTTTTTAGTTTAATTTAATGATCCGTCTTTTCAGTTAATTAAACTTTCAACAATACCATTCAGCATTAGTGAGTGTGAACTCTGCCATCCCAAACCCGGCGTGCAGAAAATAATTAGACCGAGAACTCTGAAACAAATAAATAAATAAAGGTGTCTTAGTGAACTCTAAATGAACCACCATTTTATTTTATTTTTGGCCTAGACCAAAAGAACCAAAACACACGTGTGGACCAAGAGATGTTGGCTTTTAAATGTTTTATTCATCATTGATTCATCCGTTTATTTATTCGTTTAATCGTTTATTTATAAATGTTTTATCCCTACACATGAAGTTTGGGTTACAGTAGAAGGTAACAGAAAACGTTTCAGAGGTGTTGAAAGATTTTATGGCTTGGTGAAAGATTCTGGAAACATTTATAATACCTTTAGAACAACAGAGAACAATGCCAAATACGACTGTGATTGTTATATAGCTGTAAAGCCGTTAATTAGGCAGAAGTTCTTCGATTTCACTATGGATGTGCTTTTGTGCACAAATCCTCCGCTTCACGCTAAAGAGGAGAGATGAGGTAGTGCTGCCTTATTTTACATCAAAATTAGGACAAGCCTCTAAAGCCTCATTCTTTTTAAATCATAATCACTACGAAGAAAAAAAAGCATTATGGCACACGAGCAGCGCTTCTCTCCTCCACTCCAGTCCATAATGAAGATGACGGCAACGTTACAAACTCCTGCCTGATTTCTTGACTCAAAAGCACAAGGTTGGCTAATAGAATTCTTTGATCTTCATTATTGTCCCACATATGCTTAATGTGAGGCTACACTGGAGTGCCACCTCTAGCTCATTATGTTATTATAAGCTTTTCTCGCACGCGAGGAACCTGTGAATAAGGCCGGAGAAAACGCCACCAGCTAGCCGCAGATCACACGCAGAGCTGATAGTGGATGAGCTTTTGCTTTTTATAGCTAAGTAAGACACAGCAGCTGATTCTAGATCAGCCCCAAATATGATGCTGTGTTTGTACAGTAGGCTGCGATAGTGACAGACTGGAGTTGTTATGCGCGTGCAGACTAGTGTGCGTGTCAGCTTGTGGTGAGAAGGATCGGCGAGCATGAGTGCTATCAAAAACAATTGGACAAGAGTTGATTAGCTTTTCTTTTTCATGAGTCCCCGAAAAGCACGCGGGATGGGAACCAAGTATACAGTACTGTTCTTCCCAGGACGGCAGGCGCGCGCACGCACGCACACTACATCGAAGTCTTCGTCCTGTCCCAGGTGTACCAGAATCTGTGGAGCTGCGTGCGGTTTGTCCTACTTCCCGTACAGTGTGACTGTACCTCAGATTGTGCGCGAGCATGTGTGTAACGTTGCGACAAACACTGACCCATTTCGACGTTCTTCAACGTAACCACAGATAAGTTTGCCGTTTTTTTTTCCGTGAGAACTGAAGCTGTTAATGTATAAACTCAAACGGGATGAATTATATCACAGGGACCTGAGAGTTTAAATTCGCACTTTTTAGTTACCAAAATCAATTAACACCCCTCGCAGAAAGTCAAAGTACTGGCACTGGCAAGATCAGGCACGACAATTGCTGCGTAAAGTGAGTTGATGCATGCGCGCTGCCGCCACTACATCACCAAAGTGCACGTTCGCAGCAGGCAGACTTCTGTTAAGTGCGCTCGTGAATGTGCTGCGCGTCGGACGCACGTCCCAGTTTTGGCACTGAGGCTTGTGTGTAGGAACCCAGCGCGTCCTCCTCTCTCTCCTCTAACCTCCTCTCAGCGAGACGCACGATTCCACAGGATGCCTCACCATATGCTTCTCTTAACCACTGAGTTTGGGGTTTGGATGTAGGCGATCCATCGGGCGCAGAGTGAGTTCTGGATTTGGATGCTTCGCTGGCACGGCTTTGCGGGTGATGGTGAAGCGCGTCTTGCGCGCTACCGCGCGTTTCCTCGGTCATTCCTCGGGACGTTTGGCGACGGGAAATGTGAAGAAGGCTTAAAGAATGGCATGTAAACATGGTTTCTGCCAAGAAGGAGATGGTGACTGCGATGTACCCCACTTCTATTTCCACTCTCCTCTACTTTCTCTGTGTGGCGGCTTGGTGAGTTCCAACTGGATCTGAGCGTTACGCATGGCATCTTTGCGCCTCGAGGTTACAAACGACAAACCCGGGCGTTTTTCAACTGTTTTGATACCAAAAATAGGCGTAGATTTGATGTGTGCGCAATGTTAAAATGCTTCAGTTTGCTCTGTGTTGTTTTTAGCATAAAGAGAATATCTGGACAGATCAGAAAGGATGAGAAATTATACCCGGAAAATTTCACACGCATTCTGGACCGACTCCTGGATGGATACGACAACAGACTCCGACCTGGATTTGGGGGTAAGTGCCAACCAACAAATAATCTCCACAATCATTTGGCTAAGAAAGGCGCACAGTGCGCAAAACGAGCTCTCCAAATGATGTGTGTTTTTGCACAGGTCGCACGCTGTTTACTAAGTGTTGTTTGTTTGGTGAGGGTTGGTGTCCTCTGAGGGGAGATGGAGGTGTAAGCCAACTCCAAACGTCCTTTTGCTGCCCACACTCTTTCTCTGCTCTCAGTGTATCCGTTAGATCGCGGCTGTTTGGATGTTTAAGCGAGTTTGGTTATGTAATCGCGCAGAGAAAGCCGCTTAATGCACATTTTTTAAGTAGGAAGAGTACAGATGTTCGCCGTGTGTGTGTGTGCGTAAACCGCTCACAAGTTTCCTCTTCCGATCTTTTAACAGCGCGCGTCAGTGTTTAATCTGCTTCGCGGAGCCAAACGATGCGCTTATTATTTACAGTTTATACAGTATCCGTGTTGCAGCTCTAGTTCTGTGTACAGTAGCCGGGAATATTTTCCAATAGTCATTGTGCATGAAACTTCAGAATTAACCCCTTAGCGTATGCATATAAAAAATACATGATTTCAAAGTTCACGAACACATTTGTTCGATTTAATTTGAATTTTAATTATGGAAAACAATGCAGATCATTGGTTGTGTGCATCTAAACTGTCAGAAATAGAATCGAATATTTTTCAACAGTCAACAGTCGAAAATATACATAAATAAGTGATGTATTAAACGTTATATAATATTGATTAATGACTTATTGATGAAAGTTACTATATAAAGAAGAAGAAGGAAAAAAAAAAACATCAAGACTTTGTGCACACGTCACAGCTTCCGCTCTCTCTTTTTTCTTCATTTAAGGTTTTTTTTTTTCTCTTCCCATGATATAAATAATCAAATGAAAGCCTGTGGATCTCCGTGCGTAATGCCGGGATGTGATTGGAGCTCTGGGATTGAAGCTCTGCTTTTTTATATAACTTTAGTGAAGAGGCAGAGAGCAGAGCAGCACACCCACCTTCGCATGACAAGAGCTCTCGAGCGGAGCTGGATCAGGCTGGAGGGGCTCCATCAGCTCTCACAGAGATGCTGGGGGTTCACAGTTCTAGTAGATGAACGCACGAGCTGCCCTTGCCAAAGAATGCAGTGCTTCAGAGATGATGGATATCAGGGCTCGGGCACGTCTCTTATCATTTGGCCTGGCTGTTGTCGTCTGATTGTCGTGTTGTGTGAGGACTCGGCTTGGAAGAATTGCACTCTTTGTCATAGGCACTATCGTTTTCACACAAAAATGAAAATGGTGTCATTTGCATAAACTCTACTGTTATAAACCTTGCTTAATTATTTATTTTGATTACGGTGGAATTTATAACTATTTAGTGTGATGCTTGTTTATTTTGACAGAAAGTAAAAGTAGTCCATATGATTGTGAACAAAATATTTTTGCTGCTTGTTCCAACTACTTATTTAAAGTAAGTTGAATCAACACAACTCGTGAGTTTTTTTATTGGGGGGGGGGGGGGGGCAACTTAATAGTTTTATGTTCAATCCACTTAAATTTGCAAAAACAATTAAGTGTTAATTAAGTGTTAACAATTAAGTCTAATCAATTTGTGTTGGAACAACATGAAGGAATTGTGTGGAACCCATTTTTGTGTGTGCATGTGTGTGTGTGTATGTGTGTGTGTGTGTAGTCAGTGTAGCTCAATGCATGCTGGTGGCAATTCGTCATTAAATTTAGCTGAATTAGTAGCTTATGAATGTGTTCAGTCTTACATTTTCTTCATGATTTCATTTGAATAACAAAGTTGCCTCCAATTCACCAAAACGAGGATCATAAGTTCAGGTTGTGTTTCCAGTCTTCTGAAATCTGTGGTTTGTGGGAAAGATTTTCTCCAAAAGAAAAGCCTCTTCTTACAAAAGCTGTCTTATGACTATGACTGATGATTATATTGAGTATGAGCTTTTTATGGTTCTTGAAAGGTGTGTTTTAGAGGGGTAAATATTAATAAATGATTAAAATAATATTTTAAAAAGTATTGCTCAAAGGTTTACTCTTCTTATTTGTTGCTCTGGAGGCCAAGTGAAGTTCTCAGTTTTGCTGAACTCTAATAATGCAATAAAGTCAACATAATTCTTCCATTCTGGGTCCCTTTGGGCATTCATATTTCATAAAACACCATACATTTCTTTATATTTTAAATGAAGTATATCCCCAATCTGATGCAGTTTCTCAATGAGTGAATGTATTTTGAAGTTTTAAGTCTTACCATGTTAATACAAATTTTATCGTGTCACATTTACATAAAAAAAAAACATGATTTATTTAAGAAGTCAATCTAATATATATATATACGCTACCGGTCAACAGTTTTGGGTCAGTAGTATTTTTAAATGTTTTAAATTAAGCTTCTCCTGCGCACCAAGGTTGCATTTATTTAATCAAAAATACAATACAAATAGTAAATATGTGAAATGTTACTGCGCTATAAAATAACTGTTCAAAAGTAAACAAAAATTCAGTTTAATAATTTATTCCAGTGATTTTAATGACGAATTTTCAGCTTCATTACTCCAGTCTTCAGTCACATGATCCTTCAGAAATCACTCTAATTATTATTATTATTATTATTATTTTTATTATTATTATTATTATTATTATTATTATTATTATTATTATTGCTATTTTTAATATTATTATTTTATTATTACTATTATCAATATTACCATTATTATTATTATTATTATTATTATTATTATTATTATTATTATTATTTTTATCTTATTATTATTATTATTATTGCTATTTTTAATATTATTATTTTATTATTACTATTATTAATATTATTATTATTATTATTATTATTATTATTAATATTATTATTAATATAATTATTACTATTTTTATCTTCTTCTTCTTATTATTATTATTATTATTATTATTATTATTATTAGTAGTAGTAGTATTATTGTTATGATTGTTGTTATTATTATTACTATTATTAATATTATTGATGTTGTTATTGTTATTTTTGTTGTTGTTATTATTATTATTACTATTATTATTATTATTATTATTATTATTATTATTATTAATATTATTATTAATTATAATACTAATAAAAGCAATAATGACTGGAGTAATAATTTACATACAATAAGAAAGTAATTATTTGAAATTTGAATAAATATTTAACAATTTAAGCCTTTTTTATTTTTAATAAATGCCGCCTTGATGAACATAATAATTTTCTTTAAAAAAAAAAAACAATAAAAGAAAAAAAAAACTGACCCCAAACTTTTTTATAATAGTGTATATATATATTAGGGCTGCACAATATATCGTTTGAGCATTGATATCGCAGTGTGTGCATCTGCAATAGTCATATCGCAGGATATGCAATGTTGAGTTGGAATTATATATGACCAGAAAGCATAGGTAAATCAACTTGCCCAGAGTATATTGTTGAGTTTTTTCTTTTTATACAAAGCGTATTCTCAAAATGTGTGTCAAAATAAGATGTCATCAAAAATCATTTTGCTAGCTGAAACAGAAAAAAGTTATGGCCAAATTAAGACTCAAAATCACCACTGTGTGGATGAAAACATCCCAACAACAGCACACAAGGCTTACAAATAAATAAAAACTTTAATCGTTTTTTATTAAATAAAATTTAATAAAAAATAGTAAATACTTTGAAACGGCTTTAATATGTCATCACTTGGGAAATAATTGAAATGTAATTCACTGGCTTTCAGCTTTATGCAGCAATCAAGCTACTGTATGTACAGTTGAAGTCAGAATTATTAGCCCCCCTTTGAATTTTTGTTGCTTTTTTTAATATTTCCTGTATTATATTTAACAAGGACATTTTCACAGCATGTCTTATAATGTTTTTTCTTCTGGAAAAAGTCTTATTTGTTTTATTTCGGCTGGAATAAAAGCAGTTTTTAGTTTTTTTAACACCATTTTAAGTACAAAATTATTAGCCACTTTAAGCTAACTTTTTTTTTTCGATAGTCTACAGAACAAACTATAATGTTTAGAAATGTGTTGAGGAAATCTACTCTCTGAAAAAAATAAACAGGGGTTCTAATAATTCAGGGGGGCTAATAATTCTGACTTCAACTGTACATAGCAGTTAAGATCATTTGATCTAGGAAGATCTGATGAGACAAGCTCGAGTCCATTTTGAGACCTTTGAATCTAATAACCCAATTTGATAAGTTATTAATCTGAAACATCATTGATGATCATCTCCTCTGAAATTCTACAGGAGACACGAGTGGTCAATCTGAAAGCAGTCAGCCTAAGCAAAAGGCCGGGTTTTCTGCCAAATTGATTCTCATTGCTGTCTAGGTGAAATAATTGAGATCTCTGAAAGTTGGTGATTTTTGTGCGCACCAGACTGAGTGAGATTGTCTCAGTCTTTCATATTTTTCTCGCAGGATTCATGGCTGTCAACGGTGAGAGATGCTCAGAGTGTCTGTTTAATGACAGATAATCCATTTTCTTGTGTTTGACTGAAGGCGCTTCACTCTCTGCTGATTTACGCAGGCATCTATCAGAGATCCTCAAGAACATTAGCAGTTCAGCCAGTTCAGAGACCATTCACACATTCATCATCATCATCACCCCGGTCTGCTTGCAGGGGCACTTTCAGTCTCATCTGTGTATTTATTGATTGATTTATTTTCCTTGTTTTGCTCCACAAGAGGTTAGTTAAAGTAAATGACGGCTGGTTTCACTCAGGTAAAACTGAGAAACGTCAACATGAAATTTAAAAAGAGCCCGCTTCCTATTCGAATTCTCATTTACTCTTGTGTTGTGTGAAATTTGACTGGCTGCATTATTCTTAAAGGGACAGTTCACCCATTCTGACTTCATATACTTAGGGCCTACTCACACTATGCCATCCGTACCGTGCCCAGGCCCGTTTCCCGGATCGTTTGAGAAGTGTGAGTGCGCTGAATCGGGCTCAAGCACGGTTCACTTGGCCGGCCCTGGCCCGGTTGGAAGAGGTGTGCCCGAGCCCGGTTCACTTGGGCTGTTTAAGCGGTACGCTTGTGTGTGAGTGCAAAACGCGCCAAAGCCCGAAACTGAAAGCGAGACGTGACTTTTAAGGAACTGTTTCATATGGATTTATTAATAATTCTTACTGTTCTGTGAACGCAAACTGCCAAAGTTTATTAAAGACGCAAACCCCTCACTGCACGACAGCTGCGCGCCTTCAGCGCAACTGAAACTTCTGTGCATGCTCCTCATTGCTGCTGGGCTGTTCAGTGAGAAGCGCTCTCTCACTCAGCAGCACAGTGGAGATTTCTCTAGTTATATCGTTTCAGTCGTTTGATAAGCATTACATTCCTGGGGGGAGAGTTCTGGGGCGGGCTAGATACTTCGCTCGAATCCCAATTCCTCTTTGTTTCCTGATAAGGGGAATAACTCGAGTTGGGGTGTCTCCCCGAGCTCAGAGCCCTCTCCCCGGACAGCACGCCAAATACGTCTTATACTTAAACGTCTGCAAGTGTGAACTCGTGAATTATTGAGTAAGGAGCAGTGCTTTTTTTTTTTTTTGCACATCATTCACTCATAGCAAACTAATGGTAAGAGGGCGGTATTTAAGAGTAGTGTGGCTAAAAACATCACAGATAAACACGGAAGAAAATGATCAGATTTTGATTGTCGATTACTAAAACAGGCATTTTTTTCACTGGATTAACTTGCGCATATAAATTGTTCACCTAAAGGATAATAATGTAGCAGAAAAAAACATAGTAAGTTTTGATTTTGCGCATATTTTAAGGGAAGTTTCAACGCAATCTCATGGCAATTCATAACTTTTTGATTTAGTAGTTAATTCGTTTGAATTCGTTCAATCTAATTTGTTCAATTTAGTACGATTTTCTCATCACCCAGTAACGGTTGGGGTTAGGGGTGAGATTGGATGCCACGCCTTCTTTTTAAAATCGTACATTTTTATACAACTGAACTTGTACGAATTCGTACGAATTAGCCACTAAACTGACAAAACGTAAAATACTTATGTTTCCTCGTGAGATGAGGCTGGATGTTTATAAGACAATGATGTACCATATAACAATGCTTTTCAGAGTTTTTCCTTTGCGTTTTTAAAACGTGTTCTGCATGCGAGACCAGTAGTACAGTAAATACCATAATACACACGTGTGGACATCTGCCATTGTTTTTGAGTTGTACTTAATCATGCCTCTAAAGGTGCTTAAGCGACAGACGCTACAGGCTATGGTCTTTAGCGTACTTGTTAGAGCAACCGACTCCCATGCAGAGAGTCGCTAGCTCGCTTCCAGCTTGGAGTGGGTTGGGTAGTGTAGGACTGATGGGGTTACATTGGTGCCATGAGCCGGATGGGAGTGAGGTTAAGGGGGGTGAGTGTAATGGAGGCCAGCTAGTGAAGTGCTGTGCAGGTAAATCTCACTCCTCTGACCTCTAAAGGTGCTCTAGCGACAGATGCTAGAGGCCATGGTCTTTCTCGTCCTTGTTAGAGCAACCGACTGCCATACGGAGAGTCGCTAGTTATATCCCAGTTTGGAGCGGGTTGGGTAGTCTAGGGTCGGCAGGAATACATTGGTGCCTTGACCCGGGATGTGAGTGAGGTTTAGGGGAGTGAGTGTAGCAGAGGCCAGCTAGTGAAGTGCTGTGCAGGTAAACCTCACCCCTCTGACCTCTAAAGGTGCTCTAGCGACAGACGCTACAGGCTATGGTCTTTAGCGTCCTTGTTAGAGCAACCAACTCCCATGCAGAGAGTCGCTAGCTCGATCCCAGCTCGGAGCGGGTTGGGTAGTCTAGGGTCGGCAGGATTACATTGGTGCCGTGACCCGGGATGAGAGTGAGGTTTAGGGGAGTGAGCATAGCAGAGGCCAGCTAGTGAAGTGCTATGCAGGTAAACCTCAACCCTCAGACCTCTAAAGGTGGTCCGTCATCCGTTAAACAGAAATTGGGGAAAAAAATAAAGAGGGGGGCGAATAATTCAGGGGGGCTAATAATTCTGATTTCAACTGTAAGTGTAATAAAATCAAAAGGTTACAAAGAATCAATAATCAACTTCATTATGATTAATTTATTTTCAGTGTAGTAATGTATTTCTATTGATTCCTGTGTTTGTTTAGGTCCAGTGACGGAAGTGAAGACGGATATTTACGTCACGAGTTTTGGCCCAGTTTCTGACGTGGAGATGGTGAGTTTTCGGAGATGTTTATGATTGTGTGTGTGAACAAGTTGGGTTTGTGGATCAGTGTGTGTGTGTACTTGTACAGTTGAACTTGAAATTTTTCACCCTCCTGTGAATTTTAGTTTCTTTTTCAAATATTTCCCAAATTATGTTTAACAGAGCAAGGATTTTTTCACAGTATTTCCTATACAATTTTTTCTTTTAGATAAAGTCTCATTTGTTTTATTTCAGCTAGAACAAAAGCAGTTTTTAAAACATTTTAAGGTCCAACTCACCACCAGGTGGTGATCAGTTGACAGCTCTGCCTCTCTCTTTACCCAAGTGTCCAAGACATACGGTCTCTAGGTTGGAGGAAAGTCCTTACCCCAGATGGAGGAGTTTCTCAGGGTTTTGTTCATGAGTGAGGGATCGTGAGATTGACAGGCGGTTTGGTGCAGCGGCAGCAGTAATGCGGTCGATGTACCGGTCCGTTGTGGTAAAGAAGGAGCTGAGCCAAAAGGCAAAGCTCTCGATTTACCGGTCAATCTACATTCCTACTCTCACCTATGATCATGAGCTTTGGGTCATGACCGAAAGGACAACATCTCGGATACAAGCGGCTGAAATGAGTTTCCTTTAAAGGGTGGCAGGGCGCACTCTTATGGATAGGGTGAGGAGCTCTGACACCCGGGAGGAGCTCAGAGTCAAGCCGCTACTCCTCCACATCGAGAGAAGTCAGCTGAGGTGGCTCGGGCATCTGTTTCGGATGCTCAAAGGACGCCTACCTAGGGAGGAGTTCCAGGCATGTCCCATCGGTAGGAGGGCTCGGGAAAGACCCAGGACACGCTGAAGGGACTATGTCTCTCGGCTGGCCTAGGAATGCCTCTGGATCCCCCTGGAGGAGCGGGAGGAAGTGTCTGGGGAGAGGAAAGTCTGGGGTTCTCTCCTAGGACTACTGCCCCCATGACCCGGCCCTGGAAAAGTGGCAGAAAATTAATGAATGAGTTGTAAGGTCAATATTATTAGCCCTTTTAATAAATATTTTTGCTTTAATAGTCTATAGAACAAACCCCTGTTATACAATGACTTGCCTTATTACCTTAACTTGCCTAATTTACCAAGTTAAGCTTTTAAATGTCACTTTAAGCTGTATATAAGTGTCTTGAAAAATACCAAATAAATTAATATGTACTGTCATAATGACAAAGATAAAAGAAATCAGTTATTAGAAATTATTTATAAAATCTATTATGTTAAGAAATGTGTTAAAAATGTCTGAAAAAAAATATTAGTTAAACAGATTTTTTTTAGGGGAAAGAAGTTTACAGGGGGACTAATAATTTAGGAGGGCTACTAATTCTGACTTCAACTGTACATGTTTGTGAGCAGCTGTTATATAAAGTGTCGTATCCGTCCGCTGAGGTGTTATTAAAATAAATAATTCAGCCAGCGTGCCATTTAGATCAATGCGAGGTGCTGTTATCTGCTTAGTCAGAGTGAATCAACCATCGTGTGGTAGAGATTTGAGGGAAAAAAATGTGATTGAGTCAACAATTTCAGCAGGGATTTTCCCCTGAGAACTGAGAGAAGTTCAGCACATCGCAAAAGAGCACAACAGCGCTAAATGTGACCAGACGCACAGTGTTTAGCTCAGACTGCCACCTGGAATAGTACAACCTGCAGTTATATAATAATGCATAGAAAGCAGTTTGTTTTGTTTTATTTTACAGTATGTGTAATCAATATAGGGCGGCACGGTGGCTCAGTGGTTAGCACTGTTACCTCACAGCAAGAAGGTTGCTGGTTCGAGTCCCAGCTGGGTCAGTTGGCGTTTCTGTGTGGAGTTTGCGTGTTCTCCCTGTGTTGGTGTGGGTTTCTTTTATGTTGTCCGGTTTCACCCACAGTCAAAACACATGCGCAATACACTAAACAAAAATTTAGTTTTTTTTTTTTTTTAAGCTAAGTGGTTGTAAACAATTTATTTGGGCTTAATTTAAACAAACAGATTAAGTTAAACATAAATTTAATAAGTTAAATAAGTGAAGTTTATTTATAAACTAATTTCTAGAGGATCACATGCTTATGATTGCTTGCAGTCTGTCCTGCATTATCCAATTTATGATTCACCAATCTGACGATTCCTTAGATACTATAAATACCCTAAGTTCCATATAACAGCCGTCTTCATTTTGAAGAATCCCCCCTTCCACCCCTACCCCCCCTGCTTTCCTAGATGGGTGGCACAGTGGCCCAGTGGTTAGTACTGTTGCCTCACAGCAAGAACGTTACTGGTTCTAGTCCTTACCAAGTCAGCCAACATTTCTGTGCGAAGTTTACACGTTTCCCCCCATGTTCACGTTGGTTTCCCCCGGGTTCCCTAATTTCCTCCCACCGTCTGAAAACCTGCAACTTAAGTTAATTGACTAATCAAAATCAGCACTATAATAAGTAGTTATCTCTTAAGAGCAATCACTATCTATTACAGCAGGGGAGTTCTCGAGATGTACTTGAGCTCGAACTCCCCTCTCGCCCTGCAAAAGGGAGGGAGCCCTGGGCTCGAGGATTTTAGGAGCTCAGTGCTCTCTTCTGGGAGAGCATGCCAAACAAGCTTTATAATCGATCATCAGCTAAGTATGAACTAAATTGGTCGTAGTGTTTGAGTGTGTGCGCGCACGCGAATGAGAGTGTACGGGTGTTTCCCAGTACTGGGTTGCTGCTGGAAGGGCATCTGCTTAGTAAAACATAAGCTGGAATAGTTGGCGGTTCATTCCGCTGAAGTTCTAAAATGTTACTTTTTTTCCTGCTCGCAAAAACTAAATATTTTCATTAATTAAATTCCATTAATCTAGTAACAGACATGTCCCTGTCAGAGAGACGCTACATAAAGTCTGCTTTAGTGAACAGAACCTGCACAGGCTGTGAATAACAGGTGATAAAGATGTAACATTCAGTTTTTGGCACAGAGTGATCATTTGGGAGCCGCGCGAGAAGTGACATGCTCTTAGCAGTGAAAATGAAACCGAAAGCGCTTATAGTTTTGCCAGATGTAGCTGACTGATTCCAGCCCAAAAAGTATCCAAAACCCGCCGAAATGCAAAAATACCCACCCAGTCTTCTCTTCTGTATTCACGAAAATCACATCAGTGACAAATTTTAAGCAGAAAATTACAGATTGACACAATTACACAATAATTTAACATCAGAATTATCATCAGCATTAATGACCAGGACAAATCTAAAGTCTGTTCAAGTCCACCATTCAAAGTCTATACAAAATGTAGCATTTTAACCAAGAGTACAGCTACACAAAGCCTATTGCTGTTTTACCACATGTTTGAGAATAACAATAATAACAGCCCACTCACATTAACCTTTATTTTACATTTCCAGAATCGTGAGAAAATCGTGATCTTTATTTTAGGCAACAAAAAAAACGCGATTCTCATTTTAGCCAGAATCGTGCAGGTCTAATCCCATGTAAACAACTTTATTAATTAATTTATTTATTTTAATTTTTTTACATTTTATAGTATATATTTGAAAATGTAGTCATTCATAAGTGATCATATTTCTCACTTTATTTAGAACTTCAGGGCAAATCTTTGTAATTATATAATAAATATTATTATAAAACCCTATTCAGAAACTAGTGATTAAAGGCCCAACATAAAATGTTGATAAATAAAATGCTAAATGTAAATATTGTACTTTTTCATGATTCTGTTATTCCAACAGTATCTCAACTCACAATTCGTAACTTACTGGTTTATTCGTATGAATTCATATGATTTTGTTTGCAAAATTTTGTATGCTGAAGTTTGTGCGGTAAAAGTGTTTCCATCGTAGTTTATGTGCACCTTTTCCTATTGCATAAAAAGTTTATTCTGCTCAGTTATGCGTATACGTTTTTATGCGCATTTTCAAAATTTATGCGCATCTTAGCGCTTCCATCAACCGATTTTTTTATGCACACAGTCAAAATGCGCATAAAATAGGTGGATGGAAACATAGCTAATGATGATTGGGTTTAGGAGTGGGGTTTGGTCCCACGCCTCCTTTTAAAAAAAATCCTACATTTTCGTACGACTAAACTTGTACGAATTTGTACGAATTAGTCACTAAACTGAAAAAAACAAACAAACATAAAATGGTTACTTTGAGATCAGGCTGGTTATTCATGTTTCTCTCAAAAGTATTACCGTAAACAATGTATTTTGCAATAATATGATTTATATATATGATAATACTAAACAATATACTGTTTATACTATTTCTAAAAATTCTGCTGTAGCTTAAGAAAACACACACAAATAGGAAAACACCAGCAAATTAAGAAAGCATCTTCATTAGTTTGACAGAACTTCTATTGCAAATCCTCACACCATAAACACAAATAGAAAATGCACTGCAAATTTTCACAACAAAAGCACATTTAGATAAAAAAAGTAATACACTGTAAAAAAAAAACAAAAAAAAAACAATCGATTAAGTTAACCTAATTGTTTTTACAAATTTAAGTGCATTGAACACAAAACAATTAAGTTGTCCCCCAAAAAACTTAAGAATTGTGTTTTTTGACTTAAGATTCTTTTAATTTTGTAGTTTTTAACACATTTTTTAAATTAAAATTTTATGAAATAATTTCTTAATTTATGTATTTATTGCTCAATTTGTTTATTTATTTATTTTTATTAAAGTTAGCATGGTGTATTTGTATTATATTGTGCTCTCCATCATTTGTCAACTAAAATGTCCTGAACAATTTAAAATCTCATTTTATCAAGTGAAGCATTGCGAATTTATTCTCATTAACCCTGAAATTATATTTAGCAAAGGATATCAAGAAAATGTAGCTGTCTTACTTAATAGCAATTCACTGTTAATCCTCAGTTTATTTAGGCTAATAATGTGCAAAAGACAATAAAATAAAATAAATCATGTAATCAAGGTGTTAAAAAAAAAAAAAAAAAAAAATTCACTGACCAATAGTCACTGTCACAACCTGTCGTCCTTGTGTGTGTGTGTGTGTGTGTGTTTTCATCATGTGACCTCCACCATGTGTTCCTTTCACCTTCACCTGTGTTCATCTCCTGTGTGTAATCATTGTCATTATGTTTCTGTGTATTTATACCCCTTAATTTCATTCAGTCCTGGTCCGGTATTCTCTCTGTTGATGTCTGCTTTCACTCCATGTTCTTCCTGTGTTCATCCATGTACGTGATTGTTAATAAATCTGCGTGTTTTGATAATCCTGCCATCCTGTGCCTTCCTGTGATGAACCCAGGCGTTACAGTCGCTGCACACTAAGCAAATCCCAACCAACTCTGTCACCTTTTTCAGTCTCTTCCCTTAAAATATTTCCATTGTGGTTCGTGCTATTTCCATGTGTTGTATTTTCTATTTGCACGTGTTTTCTTAAGTTACACTGTTGAGATCTCTCGGCCATCAGAATTTTGTCCATACTATATTGAACTTCTTTATGTATGAATGGGCGCAGCCAATGGAGTCTTTTTGGCTCAAGACTTCCAATCTCATTTACTTCTATTCATTTTTTTGATGCTCAGAACAGCTGGTTATGCTACTTGCTGTTGTAAACTGATATTTTTTATGATATTTGTCACCGACTCGGTCCCAGTCATTCCCCTCGCTGGCCAGCAGAGGCCACCATCTTCGGACTTTTAGCATTACATCATCCACTTAAACTGATTGCACACACACCTGATCTGAATCCCGTTAACGACCCACGCCACCTGTTACAAGCCACGCTCAAACACCAGTTCAGTGCGAAGTCTTGTTCTGCCACGGCTAACATCTCCGAGAATTATTCCCTTGCCTGATCTCCTGTGTATAACCCCGGACTGTTTCTGACTCTGAGTTGACCCACACCTGATATCTGGACTCTGAACCACGCCGCCTGCCATTGATCCATGCCTGTTATATCACACTGTGTCTGTCAGCTGCCAGCCCCTCGACCACTATTACATACTGTTGATGTGAGTTCGCACTTAAGTGCGTATTGTATGAATGTGATTGAACTGTGTCTATTAAATACTGCAAATGGATCCCTCTGTGTCAGGCTCCTCGTTACAATATTATTCTACTTTTTATGTATAGTCATGAACATGTTTGTAGAGCAAGCAGTTTGACCCTTTTTTTACCATTTATTATTCCTAGTCATTTTTCCCATAGATGACCGAATCGGAAGTTCCACAACAATCGAAAAATGACAATATTGTCGTATTCTGACTCCTCTACATCTGCGTTTTCCTCCAGGAGTACACCATGGACGTGTTCTTCCGCCAGACATGGGTGGATCGGCGACTGCGGTATGAAGGCCCCGTGGAGATCCTCCGGCTGAATAACCTGATGGTGACCAAAGTCTGGACTCCCGACACTTTCTTCAGAAACGGCAAGAGATCCGTGGCTCACAACATGACGGCGCCCAACAGACTCTTCCGAATCATGAAGAACGGCACCATCCTGTACACTATGAGGTACGGCCGTGCATCCGTCCAGTCCTGATTCCCGTTTATGCTGAAATGACTTGGCAGGCTGTTTTGCTGGTGGGTGACCGTTGTTTATGCCAAGTAGGATGTGTTCCTGGATCCTCTTTTATTGGTTTTGCAAAACAACATTTGTGTTTAGTGGAGAATGGCAGGCTGTTGATGCTTTAAACTCGGCCCTGTGGCTAATCCTACAATACTAGTAGGTGGATGGGTTTTTTACAGAACAAACAAAGGAGCAAGTCTTTGACCAATGTATAGATAGCTGATATATCAGTATGTAACTAGCCTGAAATATGAGCACTAGGCTTATTTCACGCGGCTGCCGTTTTAAAGAACCAAAGCGAGGCTGCAGTGGGACGAAACCCGGAACCAGCACTGTAAACATTGCAGTAACATGCCGTGTACTACAAACCTCCAGCTGTTGCCGAGATTTCAAAATGCAGAAATGGTGTAACCATCACTTTAATACCATTGAAAAGAATCAGTTTATTAACTCGAGTTTGATAAATGGCATCTAAAACTTGTGTTTGGGAAAGAAAACGTTAGCTAACCAGTGCCATTTCCCTTAACTTAGCTAAAAATAAGCTCTGATATCCCTTTTTACATTCACCATTAATTTAGAATGGACCTTCGGGTCACCAGGAAGGTGGAGAAATGATAAATTTGTGTCACTTTATCTTTACTGATAAGATATACAGCCAGGTACACAACATTCCTATGTGACTCCCAATGATACTTCCGGGTTTCTTCCCACCGCAGCGTCGATTTCGCTTTTGAAAATGGTGGCCGCGTGAAATCAGTCTATTGACCCTTCGCTAAGCCCTGCCGTTCTTGGTTGCTGTTGCTATGCCTGTCAAGCTTTCGTGCCTTGCATGGCTTTTACAATGTGTGTGCGATGGTGTCAGACATTGCCAGGGATATAATTAGTCAATTTTGGCGAGCAGGTGAAATATCTGAGAGAGCCAGACAAAAAAGGACTGCAGTATGCATTACAGGGGTATATTCATATATTCACGACATAATAGGTAACGATTAGAAAATAATTCAATCAAAATTGAACCTAGCTTAGCCTAACCGCCTCATACGCTGACCATTCAGTAGCTTAGCTCATGCTCAGCAGGAGAGGTGACATTTACAAATAGTCTAATAATAACAAATTAAACTGTGATTTCTCTATTTTTAGCCAAAAAGCCTGTTAGAGTATTATGTGCAATGAAAAATAGCGTTACTAATCGACGAGGAAACACGCATGGACACTGCTTCTACATCATTCATTCATAGAAAGAACAGCCAGAAAGGGAAACAGATGGATTTGTGCTGGATATTAGCATCTTTGACCCATAACAACGTACAGTAAGTTACTTAATACTGTCAGTATGTTTGTGTGCTCTTCATAAATTAATGATAAACAGCTGCGGGTAAAGTGTATTTTTTGCAAGTGCTCAGTTTGTGATCATATCTCGGTTTTGTTCTGTTGATTTGTAATTTTAAATATTCGTAGCTTGAAGCAGATGGAAATATGAAGTTCAGTAAAGTTAGCAACAGATTCGCAGATTCGTATTTGTCGGATCAATAACTCATGTCATTATGACCTATTTGCTATTAGTATGATTATAGTTACTATTGCAAAGGCTTAAATGGAGCATTTGTCACACGTAAATAATGTTCTGGGGAATCCAAGTGCGAGTGATACAAATAATAATTTATTAACAAAGTCAAAACAAAAGCAAGGAGTGAGTGCGGTGCTAGAACTTGGAGAAACAGGGCAGGAAACAGGGTCAAGTAAAAACTCCTCCGGTCCTGAGCACAGACAAGAAGCACCATAAGCACACGTAACGAACTGACAATGCACACTGAACACGTAGCACATATATAGGCACGATAATGAGTATCAGCTGGCGAACAATCAATCCAGCTGAGTACCTGTCATGACATGTGACCAAAACAAATACACGTGGGCCACAAAAACAAAACAAACCCACATGATCAAACAGACACTCCGGAAGAGCGCACAACCTGCAACCGTGACAGCATCACTAATAATATCGAGCAAAAAAAAAAAAAAAAAAAGAGATAGCTGTGAAACATACAGTAACCTGCTTTGTATTTATGTAGAAAACACAGTTTAGGTCTGTTTAGGGTAAAACAAAAATTTACTTCTCTCCGATCCTTTAGCACCCCTCACACAGCTTGATCCATGCTAGCATTTCGCCTCTTGGGTTTTTGGTTTTGAAAAGGGAAAAAATTCCACCATCCCGTCCAAACTTTAAGGATACCAGGTATCAGATTTGCACAATCCATATGCACTCGCTTGAAAGTTTGACAGAGCTCCTGCATGTAGCTACAGTTGCTAAGTTACGATTGGTGGGTGGCGGTTTTTGGGTGTGGCTTAGCGAAGGGTCAATTGAATTATTTACTATAATAGTTCCTTTAACATAAGTGAAGCTGCGGTCACACTAGAGTTTGAGCATACGATAAACGGGGCGGGATTAAACAAGCTTATCAGACAACATAAAAAAAGTGAGCGATTGCTCCAAGTTTTAAATTTCTGTCTAGAGATGTCATGTTTTGATCCTCGATTAGTCTCACGCAGTCAAGTGATGCGATTTCGCAGGTCAGAGTTCACCAAGCTTGAACTTTGCACCGCAGCAACCAGCGAAACTTGACGCATGACCCTGCGTTTCCGGTCTGACGCTTTCGCGTGCGTATGAATGGAAGTCTATGGGAAGAAAAGCCCAGTGTGACGCAGCTTAAGACATGTTATATTGTGTCCTTTAATCTATGTAACAATTTGGGTTTGACATAGCTCAATTGGTGGAACAAATGTTTGAAAAATGCACCATGAATAGAGGATAAACCGTGTTCCCAAGCATCTGCTGAATGCAAAGTGTTTTATAGAAACAGTTGTGGGAAAGGGATCTAAAAAAGGGGGTCTAAAAAATCCATACGTTGTGTTTAAACGATTGTTCAATTTGATTGGTTACACCAGTAATTTTATGATACAGAAAACACAATGCTATACACTGTACAAAAAGTCAAGACAACAAATATTTTAATGTTGATTTTAAATAATTTTAAGAAGTTAATCAGCTTTCAACTAAATTTATTAAGTTATACAATGTTTAACCGAAAATTTGTAGACCGTTTTAGATGACTAGAAATGTTACACTTTAATTTAACTAAAAAAATTAAGCAATCATTTTTACAGTGTAGACACAACTTATTTAGGGCCTGTTCACACCCAATGCACTTTTCCGTACCAAAAACGTGAGGCGCAGCATTTTTGTTGACAAGAAAAAAGAAGCGCGGTGCATATTTTTATTTATTTATTTATTTTTTTGTCACTAGGCAACAACTGAATCAGCTTTGTATTGTGCGAGAATGTTGCAGTTGATATTGTTATAATTGTTTTAAATGTAATATTTAATATTATTGTGATGTGTATAGTTTTTATTTTTGCGCGGTGTAATTTTACATGCAATGTCAATTATTATTTTTTTTTTTTTTTGAGCAAGTTATTTTCCGATCCATGATCGCAATACTTTAGGTGGAGTTTGATGCCATACTTGACAACTAAAATAACAACTGAGAACTACATGACCATATGTGTCATCTACTGGCCTGACGTGGATTTAAAAATAGTGCATTAATAGATAATGTGTGAATAGGTTAATGTTATCTATTTTCAATACACAGTTTACATCAATACATAATTGTTTTATTACATATTCTCTGTGTACACATGTAAATATTAACAAAGGCCACCCAAAAAAATCAGATCAGATCATTTCACAAATCTGAACCGTAGTTCTTTTTTTTTTTAATTAGCTGAAAGTAATTAATCAGCTCATTTCAACTGTTGTTTTCTCCCCCACAGGTTGACAATAAGTGCCGAATGCCCGATGCGACTGGTGAATTTCCCGATGGACGGCCACTCCTGTCCGCTGAAGTTCGGCAGCTGTGAGGATTATACTTTATACATGCTCATTTCCTTTCATCCCGCAAAACACTGAAAGCATGATCTGAGACAGTGTTTGAGTAACATGGCAGTTTATTTGACGCGTTTGGAGCGAAGAGGAGAACATTTCTTATGAAGCCTTACTGAAATAATCCCTTCTTTAAAAATGGATTTCTCTTTCTCCTCACTGTCAGATGACGACACAATTCATACTGAGAACAGAATAGATTATACAAGGAGTGTGTGTGTGTGTGAGAGTTTGTACTTAGGAGGTTTACGAGGACAAATTCAGTCATTAATTTATTTTCCTTTGGCGTAATCCTTATTCAGGGGTCGCCACGGTGGAATGAACCGCCAACTATTCTAACATATGTTTAATGCAGTGGATGCCCTTCTAGCCGCAACCAAGGACTGGGAAACAGTCCCATACACACTCACTCATTCTCTCACACACACACACACACACACACACACTCGTATACTACAGGCAATTTTAGTTTAACCAGTTCACTTATAGCGCATGTCTTTTGACTGTGAGGCAAACCGGAGGACCCAACAAACGCCACAAAGAAATGCCAACCGGCCCAGCCGTGACTGGAACCAGAGATCTTCTTGCTGTGAGGCGACAGTGCTAACCACTGAGCCACCATGCTGCACAAGGACCAATTCAATTGTATAATGACATAGTTTTGACCTAGTTGTAAAGCAGGGAGTTATGAAAACATGTCTTGTGTCCTTGTAATTCAAAATCTTACTGGACAGTGTCTTTCGACATATAGCATTTGCTTCAGGTTTCTTGTGAGAGTGCAAAACATATGCAGAGAGTAATGTGAAAATGGATTTAATGGACTTGCAGCGTCATTGAAAGCAGATCATGAGCTACAAGCGTTTAAAAGAAAGGTCGGAATGCTTTAGTCTGAAATACACAGCCCAGGCTCGGAGATTTGACGACTGCACAGCAAAATATTGCAATTTCAGTTTTAATTCAGTTACTGTAATCTTGCATGCAGTATAGTGCAGAATGAATTGCTCAAGGAAACCTAGCGTTAGTAGTATATAATAAACACTCACCGGCCACTTTATTAGGTACACCTTACTAGCACCGGGAAGTATCCACTTTTGCCTTCAGGACTGCCTTAATCCTTCATGGCATAGATTCAACAAGGTACTGGAAATATTCCTTAGAGATTGTGCTCCATATTGACATGACAGCATCACACATGTGCTGCAGAATTGTGCGCTGTTCATCCATGATGTAAAAATCCCGTTCCACCACATTCCTAAGGTGCTCTATTGGATTGAGATCTGGTGACTGTGGAGGCCATTTGAGTACAGTTATCTCATTGTCATGTTCAAGAAACCAGTCTGAGATGATTCACGCTTTATGACATGGCATGTAATCCTGCTGGAAGTAGCCATCAGAAGATGGGTACACTGTGGGGATAAAGGGATGGACATGGTCAGCAACAATACTTGGGTAGGCCGTGGCGTTGACACGATGAATGTTACAGAAATCAAGACTTATCAGACCACGCAACCTTTTACCAATCTTCTATTGTCCAATTTCGGTGAGCTTGTGCCAATTGTAGCTTCAGCTTCCTGCTCTTAGCTGACAGGAGTGGCACCTGGTGTGGTTTTCTGCTGCTGTAGCCCATCTGCCTCAAGGTTGGAGGTGTTTTGCATTCAGAGATGCTCTTCTGCAGACCTCAGTTGTATCGAGGGGTTATTTGAGTTGCTGTTGCCTTTTAAATCAGCTCAAACCAGTCTGGCCATTCTCCTCTGACGTCTGGTATCAACAAGACATTTGCGCCAACAGAACTGCCGCTCGCTGGATATTTTCTCTCATTCAGACCATTCTCTGTAAACCCTAGAGATGGTTGTGTGTGAAAATCTCAGTAGATTAGCAGTTTCTGAAATACTCAGACCAGCCCGTCTGGCACCAACAACCATGCCACGTTCAAAGTCACTTAAGTCAGTTTCCCATTCTGACACTCAGTTTGAACTGCAGCAGATCGTCTTGACCATGATTACATGCCTAAATGCACTGAGTTGCTGCCATGTGATTGACTGATTAAAAATTTGCATTAACGAGTAGTTGGACAAGTGTACCTAATAAAGTGGCCGGTGAGGGTATACACTGTATTGTATAGGCAGACTAATAAAACTCATGTGAAATTTGTATTAGTTAAATTATATTAAATTTGTATAGTGTTTCCATTGTCACAGTATTTCCTATAATATTGTTTTTGTTTTATTCTGGAGAAAGTCTTATTTGTTTTATTTCGGCTAGAATAAAAGCAGTTCTTATTTTTTTAAACCATAATAAGGTCAATATTATTATTAAGAATATTATTATTTGTTTAGATTGTCTATAAAACAGACCATCATTACACAATGACTTGCCTAATTAAACAGTTAAGTATCTTAAAAAAACATCTAGTAAAACATTATCCACTGTCATCATGGCAAAGATAAAAGAAATCAGTTATTAGAAGCGATCATGTCTAGAAACATCATCTTTTCGTAAAGCAAAAATTGGGGGGAAAATTTACTAATAATTCAGCAGGCCTTAAAATTCTTTAACTGTACAAGATCTAACATCTCTAGTAAACAAATACAGGAGCAAGAGAAGGCCATCCGAGACTACAGAGCAAACTGGAGGGTGTAAAATGCTGTTATAGGTCTGCACTGTCCCGGGGCAGCAGGGAGATCAGTGCTGACCTTCTCGCCTCTACAGGGGACGAACAGCTCTCTGTCTCCATGCTTCCCCTCAGGCCCACAGAAAGGACAAGGATATTCAGAATAAGACAAAGAGAGAGAGAGAGATATCCGTCAGCACATTAGCGCAGCCATCGCCCAAAAAAAAACGTGGAGATCGTCCTCCATCACAATGTCACAATGGAGCACTCTGGACTGGTTTATCTCCAGATCTCCCAGCAGCCGCTATGAAAGAGCTCTACCCACCTGCCACATATTCCCATTTGAGATTAGGCCTTCTTTTCAGATTTCTCTTCCCTTTTTTTTTTTCTCCCACATTTTCGTTTTTGCGTTTTTTGCTGACCGACTGTTGCGAAGAGTCCTGCTGATATGGAGATTCTTTGTTCAGTTTTTAGAATATGAGCTCAGTATTTACACACGCGGAAGGGAAAAAGTCATTTCTCCTTGTGGAGAGGAGTTGCGTTTTCACATCTTTAACGTACTGGGCTGAAATTAAACCTGTGGACTGTCAACTGTGTGTGTATTTGTTTCGTTTTTTTCTCATAAAGGAATACCTGAATGTAATTTTAACTTATTTCACCATCAAGTACTGCCTTTTTAGCAGTGCGTGCAGTAGATCGCTCTGATTACATTGGGCAAACCGGTAAAAATGTTTTAATGTTTTACAGACTTATTCATAAAATATTTACATTAATATTTGTGGAAAAACATGTTTATTTTGTTATTTCATTTAAGTAAATTTCTTTTAACATTAAAAAAATATATATGAATAATATTTTGTTTTTGGACCGCTATTATATGTTGACACAAACATTTTGCTATTTATAATTTTTCTATTGCCTAGTGATCTAATAAAATCTTAGCATTTAATACTATTTCGAATTTGCAGTGTTTAATTTGATTAAAATTATAAGTTTCTTTACTCATTTTTGTCACTTAAATTATTATTATTATTATTTTTATAATTATTATTGATGTTGTTGTTATTATTATTATTACTGTTGTTGTTTTTTTAATGTTATTATAATTATTATTATTATTGATTTATTTACTTATATTTTATTAATTATTATTAATTATTATTATTATTAATAATATTATTGATATTATTATTATTATTATTATTAGTAGTAGTAGTAGTAGTACTTATATTAATAAAAATAGTTTATTATTATTATTATTATTATTATTGCTGTTATTATTTTATATTACCATAATAATTATTAACATATTTATTATTATTATTAATATTATTATTATTATTAACTATTATTATTATTATTATTATTATTATTATTATTGTCATTACAATTAATATTATTATTATTATTAGTAGTAGTAATAATATTAATACTAATTATTATTAATGTTGCTGTTATTATATTATATTATTACAATAATAATTATTAACATAATTATTTATTATTATTATTATTATCTATTTATTTTTATTTTTATTATTATTATTATTAGTAGTAGTAGTAGTTGTAGTAGTAGTAGTAGTAGTAGTAGTAGTAGTAGTAGTAGTATAGAGTTTTATTTTATTATAGTTTTTAAATGACCAAAAACATGTTAAAACTTGTCTGCTGTTCTACAGGTTTAGGTTGAATAAGCTGGTCTTGATAAGCTGGTGAAAACCGGTAACCGCTGCAAATTGCGCTTTAAAGGGTCACGAAACACCAAAACACATTTTTTGAGCTGTTGACAGTCGTATATGTGTCCCACACTGCTAAAAACACTATTAGGACACCTATATTTCACTAAAAAGTGTAAATTGGTTGTTTTTGCGTTATTTCAAACCAATTCGTACTTCCGGTTTGAAACAAAATTTTGAAGCTATGACATAATAGCATTGTATTCCAGCGTACAGAGTGGACGTCTGTGCCAGAGTGAGTCTTATTACGTCTTACAGTGTGTTGCATTAATGCATGAGTAAAGCTTGGTTCAAACCAATCAGCGCGCTCTATTGTGCAACTTCATTAACATTCATTACTGTCACAGAGTGTAGACGGCAGAGACGCCACGTTGTGTTGGCAAAACAAGCGTGAAGTGTTGCTTTTATAGTTTGCTGCAGTGAAGTTTTGTTTTCATTTTCTTTCTGTGAGAGCGCAGCTGGAGTCACGTGTGGATTAACAGTGTACACGACACTCGACAACAATAACTTACGTGTCTAAGGAGGATTATTGTTTACCCGAGAGCTGTTCTCATCTGCAAACGCTGAGATCAGGATTCGCTTGTAGTCTCCTCTTAATAAAGACGCGGCTCTAGTTGCTGGTGATTGTCC